AAACTCGGGCTTTCCGAAGCTTAACATCATTTCTATCTTGTGGCTTCTTTATCATATTGAACATTCTTTTGATGACAATTCAAAGATATGAAAAATATATCTCATAGACTCCTTCTTTCACTTTTAAGATTCCTACCTCCTTTCTCACTGTCGTAGTGTGAAGCATCAAACTGAGCATCATCATTAGGGAGTTGCACACTGGCTATCACAAGGTGGTTTTGTTCATCCGATGTGTGTGTCCCCAGGACAAGTCGATGAATGCTGAAATCTTTCCCTTCTGGTCTGTAATAGCAATATATGGTCACCATTCAAATTAGTAACAAATACATCTATGCAAGAGCACTATTACAACAAGATCTTGGGAAGAGAAAATCATTTTCTACTTTAAAAGATTGTTTTTATTGATTTTAGAGAGAGAGAAGGGGAGGAGAGAAACACTGATTGCCTGTCTCCTGCATGCCTCCTCTGGGAATCGAACCCGCAACCCAGGCATGTGTATGGAATGATGCTCAACCTGGCTGATCTACACCAGCCAAGGTCATTTTCTACTTTTAATGTAACTTCCACAGAGCCACGTATAAGAAAGACTACATAGCACTTCATTTTTAAGTATAATAAATCATCAGTTAACATGGATAGGTTCTGTGACTTTAGGCAAAATTACATAAAATGAAGCCAATTTTACCACATGCTAAAGGATATAAACAAAAGTTAAGTTCCTATGGCATCTCAACTTTAGAATGAACAAAACGTTATTCAAGGACCAGCTGTATTTAACTTGATCAAAAATTTACAATTGCTTTGGGGGAAAAGTCTAACAAAATAAAATGGGAATTACTCATCCATTACAACTGGTTGGATATAAAGAAAAATTTGTTGGGTACACTAACATTTTAGGTTACTTCTTTAAGTTAACTTCATCAAAAAGGAAAGGAAATAACATTAGTAAATTAATTGCTCAAATATTTCCTAACTGCTTGGACACACTGCTCCAAAAACTATGGACGCATAATGATTAAGACATGATTCTTGTCCTCAAAAAAACCAGGGACAATTAGGCAGTCATGTACAAATGATTAAAACACAAGTCCATATACACCACATGAAAGATACAAAGGAATATAGCTGGAAGATAAGCAGGTAGTAAAAAAAAAAAAAAAAAGGAGCTAAGCAAAGGGGAAGGTCTACCAAGTGCCAGACACCATGTTAGGCACTGGATATATCTTTTATCATTGAAATACCATAATACTACAAGATTAAACAGCTTGCCTTAGATCACACAACTACTAACAGAACTAGGAAAAGTCCAAATCTGACTCTAGATATGGGAAAGTACAGTGGGAGAGAAAGCTAAGAAACAGATTAAATTTAGACTCTAGGCAGCTGAAAATTTCAAGAGCCCAGAAGTTAGGTCTAAGATAACCAATATGAATTCCTCTGCAAAGAGGTGATGGACATCTATAAATTAAACAGAAAAAGTATAGGAAAGAAAAGAGAACTATCAATAGAAAATTGGGAATGCCTGTGGTTAGAAAGTTAAACAAAGAATCAGAGGAAGTGAGGGAAGAATTTTATAGAGCTACTATTATTTTTTTAAAGGATGTGAATAAACATCAAAATCAAAACATATACACAAAAAACCTAAGCACTTGGCATTAGATGCTTGCTTATAAGTAATCCTCATTACAAAAACAACAGAACATTGTTATATGAGTAGAATACAAAAAAGGGAAGGAAAGGGTAGGGTATTTGGATCAATGTCAAATATTACAGAAAGGTTTATCTGCTGGAATAGAAAACAACTAAGATGACAGCACAAATTTTAGCCTTGAAGAATTTATTCTAATTCATTGCTTTGCAAACCTAGCTAATCACTGTATGGGAGGCTTTGGGATTCCAGAATGATTTAGTAGGTATGGGGTGAGGAATATTTGGGACCCAGTGGTTCACTATAATTTGGCATGTGACTGGTAAATCTGGAATCACCAACCACTTCTCATCAAGTATTCTGCGACAAGTTCCTAAATGCTTTGAACTACCATTGAGAATACCTGACAGAATTTCACCTCTGCTGAACTCAATTTTTTTTAACATTTGAATAATTTTTTATTTTTCAACTAGAGGCCCGGTGCATGAAATTTGGGGGAGGGGGGGGAGAGGTCCCCTTAACCTGGCCTGCACCCTCTCCCAGTCCGGGAGCCCTCAGGGAATGGACATCCTCAGCACTGCCAGAGGCAGGAGAGGCTCCCACCACCACTGCTGCGCTCGCCAGCTATGAGCCCAGCTTCTGGCTGAGTGGGACTCCCCCTGTGGGAGTGCACTGACGCTCCTGAATTGTCTGCCCCTTAGTGGTCAGTGCAAGTCATAGCAACCGGTAGTTCCCCCTTCAGTCGATTTGCATATTAGCCTTTTACTATATAGGATTTTTAATTTATCATTGTTAGTTTCTGATGCACAACACAGTGATCAGACATTATATAACATGTAGTGATCACCCTGATAAGTCTAATACCCTGACACCATAGTTACAATATTACTATATTTCCTGTACTGTATTTTATATCCACTTGTGTATTCTCTAACTACCAATTTGTGCTTCTTAATCCCTTCACCTTTTTCACCCAGCTCTCCAACCACCCTCCCATCTGGCAACTGTGAAAATGTTCTCTGTATCTGAGTCTGTTTCTTTTCTGCTTGTTTTGATTCCACATAAGTGAAGTCATATGGTACTTGTTTTTCTCTAATTAATTCACTCAGTACCATACCCTCTAAGTCCCTCCATATTGTTGCAGATGGCGAGATTTCATTCTTTTTTTATGGCCGATTCTGATGATCAGTTGAATATGGGAACTCCTGGTAATGATAAAGCTCCCAACTCTAAATGTCTAGGTATTTATTATGGTTTTGTTTAACCACCTTAAGACAGAATTCCCCATTTTAAAAATGCTATTGCAAAGGTAACAGCCTCGTTCTTAACTTAATAAAATCTGTATCAACTTTTTAAGATCAATATCAATTCTCTAATTACTTGTTGAGTGAAGCATAGACTTCTAAAGACCTAAGATAGGAGGAATTTATTTTTTAGTATACATAAAATATAATTTTTAAATGTTTCAAAACTGAAAGTTTTATAATAGAAAACCCTTACTCCAACTGGCACACTGGTTTTGCTAAAACTTGAGCCTTTCTTCCCTCATATCCCATTGAGGTCATTTTTCTTTCCCTTCATCATTTTATCTTGGCCACTCCCATGATAATTTTTTTAATGTTATAGGTTATACATACTTATACGAAGTTAAGGCAGGGAAGGATCTTATTTAAATCTGTATGCCTTTTTAAGTGGCACCTAGACCCTCAATAAACGTAAGCCAAATTAAATATTTTATCTCCTCTATTAGAGGTACACGAGTAAGATATGCGGTTCATCTCTCACCATGCATAATTCCTCATATGCAAAACATCCCACCTTCAGGTGTTCGTTCTAAGCATCCTAAGTATCCTTCTAAAAAGTGCTCTGAGAACACACAACTACAACTCCTAGTTACACCAGCTCCTCCAGCTAGACTGTGCTCCTTGCAGGCAGCTACCATGTTGTATTCACCTTTGTATTAACCAGCTACAACCAAAGACTGTGAGATTAAAAAACTGGACACATCGTAACACTTCTTGAAAGCTGACAAGTCATATGGTTATTCAACCCAGTATCAGAAAAAGAACAGCATGTTTTCTCTTATCAGGGAAAATAAAGTAATTTGACATTTTGCCCACTTTTTGGTCTAGAAGAAAATGTCACCAAGAGGTTTTGATCATATGCCCTGTAAAGGGTGACTGGAGAAAAACAACACAAAAACAGGGGAAATCAATGTGCCAAATCTACACCGAGGACACACCAAAGCAACGTTCAAGAGATTCGTATCACCTGGTTACATCGGGAAGCCACTGTGCAGTTAAGCTGGGCCACTCCAGAGCATGGGTCATCACCAAATCGTAAAGAAAAGGGGTGTTCTTTTTCCATATTTTGTACTCTTCGTTGATCACGCGTTCTTCTACTGCGTCATCAAAGGCTGCTAAAAAATGAAAAATAAATTTAAATTAGCGAACACAACAGAAACCGCGTAAACACTTCCAAAGCTACCGGTATGGCTCCCGAGTCCTGATACAGAGCAGGTTTGTCCAAATTTCCCCCGTGCGGAGACACCAACACCCCCGCCGCCTCCGCGGGTTGGAACTCCTCTCACGTCATCCGGACAGATACTCCGTTAGCCGTGCGGGTAACGGCGCGGCCGCGCCAGTACGCTCTCCTACGCGCGAGCCTACGGGACCAGCGAGGAGGCCCGAGTCCCGACCCCTGGGTGTAGGGAGCGGTGCAGGGCAGACCCGGAGAGAGGCGTGTAGACCGACAGGAAGCGCAAGGAGGGACCTAACACCCGCCGGGGCCCCACCGCCAGCTGCGCGCCGTTAGCCCGCCTCGCGGGGCTAGTTCGCCTCACGCCTCCGATGGTGTGGACCGCACACAGCAGAGTCGGGCCTGCTCTCACTGTTAGGCCGTGTAAAGGCCGCAGCGCAAGTCCGGCACCCCTCCGCCTCCTAAGGTGACTCCGGCACCCTCACCTTCCTTGTCGGCCATGGCGTGCAGGAAAGCCAGGGGGATCCCGAGGTCTACCGTTTTGCGGGAGGGGCGGGGAAGCTACGGAACGCTCGCTCTCCGCGCGCGGCCTCTATTGTTTCCTGCTGTCCCTGCGTGAGGGCTGCTTCGCGGACCTTCGCGCCAACACCGACCAATCGGAGCGCACCGAGCGGCCAGGTGGGCGGGCAATCGCGCTCGCAGCCTATCCAGACGCGCGGAGTCGCTCTTCGCGGAGCGGAGGCGCGCGCTCCGTTCCTACCCTCCCCCCTCCCGACCGGGAGCCGACTTCCTTCGATTGCGCGCGCGCAGGGCTGGTCGGAGTGCGCTCCCCCTTCCCCCCTCCCGTCAGGGTCACGTGAGCGGCTCAGTCCGCACTCTCCCGGGGGCAGCCATTTTCTTGAAGGCTGTTAAGCTAACGACCCCTTCAAAGTACTCAGATGAGAAACCTCGGGTTCTTTCCGGTCTAGTAGTTATCAACCGCCGCAGCAATAAAAGGCTTCTATCACTGAGACCTAGAAGTGTCTAATTCAAGGGTCCCTTACTCCGCAGGTCCTCCACTTTAGTTGTTTCTTTAGTCCGTAGAACCATGAATGGCGCAAGCCCAGAAAACGGAGTCTTGACTTTTTGAAAGATGTGCTCCGAAGGACGAGGCCTAAATCGGAAGCCTTAGGATAAAGCAAGTCCCTGAGAAGTCCTGGTGCTTTAAGAGTGCGTGCCAAAGGGGCGGAGTCTAGAGCGGAAGTTATAAATCAGGACCGAAGTCCTGCTGATGAAAGGCGGAAGTGGAATGTCGGAGGCTGCAGTCATGGCGCAGGAAGAGGAAGATATTCGGGACTACAATTTGAATGAGAAGCAGAAGGCGACCAAGGCCAAGTATCCTCCCGTCAATCGGAAGTACGAGTGTGAGTATGAGGCTCGCTTCTTCCACCTGCTCTCCTGCCTCTGGCTCGCTTACCACTTCCGCTTCAGGACCGATCCCCTGTCGCCTGTTGTAGTCTCATTTGTACTTGTTCGCGGAGTCTGAGTCGGGGAACCCGGGCTCCCGCTTTTAGAGTCTCCTGAACTTCTTCTGCATATGCCTCATCACATTTGTCTTGTGGGGATTCTAGTGTATTCTAAAGATAACCGTAGTTTCAAGCGTTTGCGTGGATGTGTCGCCCCCTTGTATCTCCCAACAGTGGGGTAGTGGGTGGCCAGGTCAGAGAACTTTTTTTTTCACAGAACAACATTTTTTTCTCAAAAGAGTGTGACTGAAAGACATACTGCTACAGAATTTACCAGGCGACCGAAAAGCACACAGGAGGACTTGGAGGTCCGGGGTAAACCCCTGTCTTCTCCGATGTCTCACATGTACTAGGATAGTGACTCGGGGCCAGCCCTCCAAACCCCGAGTAAGCCAGTGTGGAGGAAGCTTCCTCTGTATGCCCTTCGGTTTCTTTGTTTTCTATCTGTTTCCTAACCGCCAGGCTTTTGTGGCGGGCTTGCACAGCCCCCCGAGTCAGTCAGAATGGGGGAGTTAGATGGTATGGGTGGCCTCCCTGTAGCTAAGCTGTTACGGTCTCTGTTTATGGCCCCTTTGTACATTGGGAGTAAGTAGGAAAACAGGTCTTGCTAGACCAGATTGTGGAAAAGGGGCAGTGACTTCAGTATAGGCTGTCAAGAATGTACATTAGGCCCTACCCGGTTTGGCTCAGTGGATAGAGCGTCGGCCTGCGGACTGAAAGGTCCCAGGTTCCATTCCGGTCGGGGGCATGTGCCTGGGTTGCGGGCACATCCCCAGTGGGAGGTGTGCAGGAGGCAGCTGATCGATGTTTCTGACTCTCTGTCCCTCTCTCTTCCTCTCTGTAAAAAAAAAATCAATAAAATATATTTTTTAAAAAAAGAATGTACATTAGGTTACTGGCACAGATTCAGGTTGCTAGCTCCCCCCAAAATGTCTTATTTTCCCCATCAATAACCATTGTTATTCAGACATGAGTATTTGGGAAGATGTTTTCTTTGAAAATAAAGTGATTCATTCCATCAAGGAAAATTACACAGTGTTTGTTGGCAATGGTAAGATTCAAGCTTCCAAGTGCAATTAAAATTTTGGAAAACTTGTACCTGCCATCATGATCGGGACAGTTTCCCAGTAGCTACAGACTTTATTAACGTACAAGATAGAGTAAGAGCTCATTGTTATTGCCTCAGATTTGACATTGTAAACCAACGTTTAAAAAACTACCACGTTTCTAGTTTATTTTTTAATATTTTTTTATTGATTTCAGAGTGAGGAAAGGAGAGGAAGGGAGAGATAGAAACATCAAGGTGAGAATCAACAGCGGGCTTCCTCCTGCACGCCCCCTTCAGGGTATCCTGCAACCCAGGCACCTGCCCTGACCCACAATTGAACTGTGACCTCCTGATTCATGGGTGGAGGCTCAACCTCTGAGCCACACAGGCTGGGCCTTTTCTAGTTTTGATGTAACATCAAGGAAGACTACATAGAGTTTTTTGAAAAGCTATTAAATATTCCTCCCTTTATTCCTGCATATTTGTGAGGTTGGATTTTGTGTTCTCCACCTAAATCAACACATTGAAAGTCAGTCATTAAAAATATTTGCAAAAATGCAAAATAGTGTTACTTTTCTCACTAAGTGTTTTGAAAACATAGTTTTATTTTTCATAAAATATGCAATTAATATTAAATAGAATACACCTGTTTTTTTTATTTTTTTGTCATGTAATCCTTCATTGTTAATCAACTATATCATATACTAGAGGCCTGAATGGGGTCCGGCTTGCCCATCCCAGGCCAATTGGGCCAGGCTGGCAGGGGGGTAGGGGAGAAGGGGCCTCGGCTCTACCCCCCATCGGGGTGGGGGATGATGGGTGGGGCGGCCGGGGGGAGGGGGCCTTGGGCCACCCCTGGTCAAACTCCCAGTTGAGGGGACAATTTGAATATTAGCCTTTTGTTATATAGGATAATCAATAATTTAGCCTCTAGCTTACAGTGTTTTATCTCTTGTATATAATTCAAAACTCATAGATTAGTCCACCATGTTATGGTACAAAGATTTCAGTGGTTACTACTATTGTACACTTGTTCCTGGGGTGAGGATAAATGCATCTTCTGTGAACATCAGAATAATGAGCCATTCTGGCCCCTGTAAACGCAACACTTAGTCTTGGATAATCTTTCTTACATAATTGTGTGGTAGTCAGTGCATTTTCATCTTATTTGCATCTCTTAAGTATTTAGTCTTAGGTAATATTGGCATATAAAGTAAATTTATAGACATAATTATAAATGCCATAGTCACAATTATTTATGAGGATAAAACCATTAGGACATCAGCAACAATAAGTACAGATGTTGAAGACAAGTATGAAATTAAATACCTTTCTTCATATAGCATCATGGTTAAGAGGCTTGTCTTTGCAGCTAGAAAACAGGTTCTGTTTCTGATAATGCCACTTAGGGGGATGTGAGTTGGAATGGTACTTGGACTCTGTGCCTAGGAGCTCCTCATCCAGGGAGAGCAGGGATGTGATTTTCCAACATCACATACCTGTGCAAGTCCCTCTGAGCTGGTGCAGGCATTCTCACTACTCCTTAGTGAATTCTGTGGCCACATTCCTGAACGTCACCTGTCTGCTCTACGGAATGACCTTCACTCTGTGCTCTCAGCTTCCAGATCTGTCTGCTGTTAGTTTTAAATTTTTTAAGTATTTAAAATTTTTCTTCAGTTAAAATTTCTAGTGGGGTTAATATTGCCAGGTACAACTCATAAACAAAAGCTTTTTGAGGTCCTCAATAATTTTTAAGAGAGTAAAGTGTCCTGAGACCAAAAAATTTGAGAAACACTGCCCTATAGCAATCTGTTTAAAAAACTGTTTATTTTTTTAATTGAGGTATACTTTACATATAGTAAAAATGCTGAGATCTTAAGTAAAATAAAGCCCATTGAGTTTTGATACTCAGATACACTGTGTAACCATCACCCCAATCACGTTCTAGAACATTTCCATCACTCTAGAAAGTTCCCTTTTGCTTCTTTCCAGTGAGTACCCTGGGCCCTTCCACACCTTGATGTAGACACTGTTCTGATATCTGTCATCGTAGCTTAATATTGCCTGTTTTAGCATCTCATATAAGTGGAATCTCAGTATAGAGTCTTTATGCCTGGCTTATTCACTCAGTATTAAAGATAAACAAAGCCAGACGTTAAAGTGATGAATGGATATTATTTAGTAACTACTGGCAGTAGGAGGAAGAGCTGAGCTCCATTCTGATTTGTGCAGAGCTGATTGGGCCTTTTAAAGGGAGAGTGAGGGAGGAGAAAGAGGGGAGAGCTGAGTGGCGACAGAAGTGGACAAATTACAAAAGGTTGGGTCAGTGTAAACTCGATTAGGCCAGCAGCGTTTGCTTGCTGGCAGTTGTCGAAGTTAGGATTCTGTCCTCCCACAGAGACAGAGCCCTTCTTGGTGATTACATTTCAAAGGAATGACTCTGGAGTCCTTGAGAAAGACACTTCTGGGCTTTAAAAGATAAATATTCATAAGTCATTTTAGTAAATGCTCTAAGCAACAGAGTTCAAGGGCCTATGGTCAGGTGTTGGCTAGAACAAACAGTGAATTCTTCAGACTGTCTTTCCTCTCAAGTAGACATTGTAATGGGGGGTATGGGAAGAGGTAAAGTGTATAATTCTAGGAAGTTGGGTGACTTTATGCTGCTAGAAGCCATACTCAAGTTTGGCCAGGTCTCTTAGTGCAGAGAGTAGATGGAGTTGTTAGGTGCTGAGAGTTCTGCAGTTTTTACTTAACATTTTTGAGGTTCCTGTTAATATAGTATTAGTAGTTCACACTTTTTGTTGTTGTTTTTAATCCTCACCCGAGGATATTTTTCCATTGATTTGAAGGGAGAAGGGAGACAGGGAGAAACATTGATGTGAGAGACACATTGATTGGTTGCCTCCTGCACGCATCCATCCAGGGCCGGGAAAGCTGCAACCAAGGTACATGCCCTTGACTGGAATCGAACCCAGGACTCTTCAGTCCGAGGGCCAACCCTATCCACTAAGGCTAAGCCAAACCGGCTACGGCCACACTTTTTTATTGCCGGGTAGAACTGCATTGTATTCCTCTGTTTTATTTGTTCTCTTGACAGACATTGGGTTTTTAATTTGGGGGAATCAAATTGCTGTGAATATTCTCATGTTTTGTGAATACATGCTTCATTTCTCTAGGGTTAATACTAGTCATTTTCTTTTAACCTGTCATCTTTGCTGGTCATGAGCTCCTTGGTGCCTGAAACATATTAAGTCCTCAGTAATGTTTCTGAGTGAATTAGAGATGAGTTTGAACCTTGAGTGCCACTGGAAGATGGTGTTACGGTTTAAGCAGCACTAAATTGGAAGTCAGAAAATCTCAATTCTAGTCCCAACTCTACCTCTAATCAACAGTGTGGTCCTGAAAACGTCACGCAATCTCTAGATTTTGGGGGTTTTCTTGTAGTGAAGGAATTATATATTAAATGATCTCCAAGACTTCTTCTACCCCATATATTTGTGATCCTAAGTGGGAAGAATTGATGGAAGTCATAATATGAATGAAGAATAGACTGAAATGTTGAGACAACAGATCCAGTGGGAGCTTGCTATTAGTTCTTTAGCTATTTATTTAATTCATATTAACAGAATAACAACTGTAAATGCTTAGAAGAAATTTAAAAAATAACCCTTATTAAAGCAATTAACTTTTGTGTAAATGGATAGCAAAAGGTGTGATCTGCCCACATTTTCTCTCTTCAAGGTTGATGTTCTTAATAATGAATTAGAGTTCTTTTCTTGTGATTAGCAGGCAAAGTTTAGTTACTTACAAGTGTTTTTCATTCTCTTCCTCAGATTTGGATCACACAGCAGATGTCCAGTGAGTATAGCTGGAGTTTATGCTTTTGAAACCATGTGCTTAAATAAGAAAGCTGATGTTTTGTTTTTAATCCTCACCCACGGATATTTTTTCTATTGATTTCTAGAGAAAGTGGGAGGGAGGGAGGAGAGGGAGGGAGGGAGACATCAGCATGAGGGCGACACATTGATTGGTTGCCTGCAGCAAGTGCCCTTACTGGGGCTGGAGAATCTGCAACCTAGTACATGCCCTTGACCCCGAGACCTTTCAGTCTGCAGGTTGATGCTCGACGCTCTAACCACCGTACAACCTGCCAGAGCAAGAAGGCTGATGTTTTCATCTCATCCCCAGTTATAATTTTTCTCTTGGTTACTTTTGAAAGTGAAAATGGTGGTTTACTAGCATCCAGTTTCAGTGCTATTAAGTTCATTTGAGGCCTTTGGTTTTGTATTATTCATATTGATTTTATTTTGACTGCTGTCAGGTTTTGTTTCTTGCAGTGGATTATATTACTCAGGGCATGAATGTATTTCTTTAGGTTACATGCATGGGGAGATACTCTGGAGGAAGCTTTCGAGCAATGTGCAATGGCCATGTTTGGTTACATGACAGATACTGACACGGTGGAGCCCCTCCAAGCAATAGAAGTAGAAACACAAGGTAACCAGTTTATTTACAAGGAAGAAATTATTATACAAGTGTGCAGTGTTCTACATAATTTCAGAATATTTTCACACTTAGAACAACAAATTGATTATGAGCCTGTTCTTCCTCTCTCAATTTGCCTAAAAAATTCATTGCACTTTTAAATTTGAACAAGTTATTGGAGATGAGAATTATTAAGCATCCTATTATTATGTTTCTCTTTGATTCTGTGTAGGAGATGATTTGCAGTCTCTTCTGTTTCACTTTTTGGATGAGTGGCTTTATAAGTTCAGTGCTGATGAGTTCTTCATACCCCGGGTAAGCAAGGAGTTTTCATTTTTAACTGAGCAAATAGGTTCTTAGTTCATATTTTAAAATGGAACAAGTGATTTAAAGTAGGACATGTGATGTAAAACCATGCCATACAGATATGTATTGATGATATTGATTTGCAGAGATTATAATGGCCATAGGCTCTTCTTGGTTAACCTGAGTTTGTCTATGTATATGCTATTTGTATGTATTTATTTATAAATGTTTTTATTGATTTTTGAGAGAGAGAGAAAGGGGGAGAGAGGTAGAAAACATCGATTGGCTGCCTCCTACACAACCCCTACTGGGGATCACACCCACAGTGCAAGCATGTGCCCTGACTAGGAATTGAACCAGTGATCTCTTGGTTCATGCGTCGATACTCAACCACTGAGTCATACCAGCTGGGCTGATCTCTTATTATATATGTCACTAATCAGGATTGTGTGATAAGAATGTACCTACTATCTTTATTGACATTTTTTATGTTTCCCAAGTTTGAGCTATATTTATGTCCATTTATATGTTCTTTTTGCCCCATTTGAAATTTAGTAGCTCTGCCATATTGGCTTAAGTTTAAAAATTGGTGCTTTTAGTTTTCCTTAATTTGAAAAAGGAAAGGTCAGATTGAAATTGTAGCCATCAATCTCTAGAAGGGAACACCTCTCCAGCATCGTCATTATCTAGTGCACATGGCCCCTCCTTGCTTCCATAATCCCTTCATTCTCTCCCTTACCAGCTTCACTATGTATATCCTTCCAACTGGGTCATTCGTTTTACAGAGTTCAGATGCCAACAATATTACATAAAAATAGGCTAAGAGTGCTTCAATTATACCTCAATAAAGTTGAAAAAAATAGACTGAGAGTGATTGAAATCTTATGTCATCCTCTATCTTACAGAAGAATTCTTTTGACTCAAGTTTTTAGATTGTACATTTTCAAGAATGCCTCCCTTGAATATGTAAGAATAAAACATCATCTCTGTGAAATATATTTAGTTTATCATTCTATATTAGTTAACATTTTAATTTTCTTTGCATCATAGAAGTTGTATGCTGTTTAATCTAGAAGAGGTGATAACCTAGAAGTATGTTTGGTAGATGGTCTGTAATGATCATTTTAAAACATTAAAATAATTTTTTTTTCTCTTTAGGAAGTAAAAGTACTTAGTCTTGATCAAGTAAATTTCAAATTACGGTCAATTGGGTAAGTTTGAAAATTTAACTAGCAGGTCATGAAAGATGTTAAGTTATATTCTTCACTGAACTTAACAGAAAAGTCAGAGGACCAATTGCATCCCAGTAGGTACAGGCTTTTCAATTTGTTAAGCTTTGTTAGAGACTTAGGAGGAAGAACTTTGGAGGCCGAAACTTGTCAAAACAAACTTGATTTGAGTTGTTAAGCCTGATTCCCAATTTGTTGATTTTTTTTTTTAATCCTCATCCAAGGACATGCTTAGAGAGAGGTAGGGGAGGAGGGAGAGAGAGAGAGAGAAACAGCAACGTGAGAGAGGACCATCCATCGCCTTCTGTACACTCCCCAACCAAGGATCAAACCCCCAAACCAGGTCTGTGCCCTGACTGAGTATCGAACCAGCAACCTTTCAATGCATAGGACAATGCTCAACCACCTGAGCACTTTGGCTGGGCCCAATTTGTTAATTTTTTAAAAATCTTTAATCCCTTGCACATGGCCTTTATTTTATAATTTTATTATTTTTTAAAACTCATTTCAGAGAGAGAAATGGAGAGGGAGAGAGGGATAGAAACATCAAGGATGACAGAGAGTCATTGATCGGCTGCCTCCTGCACAACCCCCTAGTGGGGATCGAGCCTGCAACCCGGGCATATGCCCTGCCCGGGAACCGAACCTGGTTCATGGGTTGACACTCAATCACTGAGCCACACTGGCCAGGCCAATTTGTTGATTTTTAGCATAAAAAGTATATAATTGCTAGTTGGCACAGATATTTGCATAAAGCCTAGCTTGGTGATGGGAAGCTGATTTGTCTTTTCTCAGATCCTCACACCTGTACTCCATTCAAACCAGTTTCTTTTATAAAATTCTTCCTTTCCTCCAGATTTTGTGAACTCTTGATTAGGTCACTTTAATTGCCTTGGTGTTTCCCAGGTTTCTTCAGTCACTCGATATCTTTTTTATATAAAGCCTATCTTTTCCATTTCATGTTGAATTTTACTTTTATGTTTCTTTTTGTAAAGTGAAGTCTTTTATTAACTCCTCTTTTTTAAAATATGTTTTTATTGATTTTAGAGAGAGTGGAAGGGAGAGGGATAGAAACATCGATGAGAGAGAAACATCAATCAGCTGCCTCCTGCATACCCCTTCTTGGGGATCTACCCTGCAACCCGGGCATGTGCCCTGACTGGGAATTGAACCAATGACCTCTTGGTTCATGGGTCGATGCTCAACCACTGTACCACACCAGCTGGACTTAATACCTCCTTTTTTAGGGTGAGGAAATAGACTTGTCCAGGGTACTTAGCTATAAATGGTTGAACAGAGTTTTAAAACTTAACTCTTTCTATTACTATTGCTGCTTCTGTTACTGGGATCTTCAGCCACATTAGTGTGGAAGGGAGAGAAAATACGTCTAGTCAAGTTCTAGGAGAGTACCTTTGTAGGGCCTTCTATCTACAGACCATGGTTTGTTTGTTTTTTTAATTATAAAACACAAACCAAATTCAGACTGTCTTATAGAATATGTTATCTTTATTTTGCTTTCCCAAGGGGGGGGGGGATGATATTTCATTAGTTTTTAGCCTTGAGTACAGTGAAAATTTTGGATTAACTACAGAGTGTTTGTTGAGAGTCTACCTATGTACACTATACTAGGGCAATATTTTTAGTTTAATTATCGACTTTGTTGAAATGGCTGTTGCACATAAGTCCCTCAGTAGCTGTATCTGCTAGCAACCAAACTGAAATTTATACTCCTTCCATCTCTTGGCTTTCTAGTATCTTAACTATATTTGTAAGGATTATTTTAAAATATGTGAAGAGAGAACAAATATTAAGTTTGGGTAATTTTAATCATGTTTTAATTTTCCTTTTTCAAGGTGGGGGGAAGAATTCTCATTGTCCAAGCATCCTCAGGTATGTTTTTAATCCAGCCACTAAAACATTTTATACTTTCTTACCATAAAATTTGGTGTATGTGGTAGTAAACTTCAATGAATTCTAATAAATTGGTGTAAAGTGGTTTTTCTCAGCTGTCTTTGACCTATCTGGACATATTATGTTAAAACACTGATTTCACACAGCTAATTTGATGGGTTAAAGGTTAGCACTTGAGCCCTGGCCAGAGATGTTTAGTGGTTAGAGTGTTGGCCCATACCAAAGGGTCTGGAGTTCGATTCCTGGTCAAGGGCACATCCCTGAGTTTGATCCCGCAGCCCCATTCGGGCCATGCGGGAGGCAACCAATTGCTATATCTCTCATGTTAATATTCCCC